TGTGTGTGTGTGTGTGTGTGTGTGTATGTAGAAAGGGGGAACTGATAGCAATGACTGATGTATAACCACCACCACCCACACACCCAGAGACACACACACACACACACACACACACACACACCCAGGGAGCAGGGCGACGAACAAGAGAAACGTGTGAAGGGAGACAGCGGATGGTGTAAGAAATGAACATAACCATAATTTATAGTTTATCAAGGGTTATGAAGGGTTCATGAGGGTGGGCGGTTAGGGGAGGGAGGGAAAAAAATGAGGAGCTGATGCCAAGGGCTCAAGTGTGGGATATAAAAAGACTTTTCCCTAGCTTTGTCTCCTCCAAGTTATGCCAAACATTAGAGACTTTTTGCCAGCACTTGGTGGGAGGTCAGATGCTTAGAGATATCCTCCCTGAGGGCATCTGGTCCACTGTAGATGGCTAGCAATAAAGAAGCTCTCCCTCTCACCCTGGCGCCCCTCCCCCTCTTATCTCCGTTTCCTCTTCCCCTGCCCCTCCTCCCTCCTGCCCCCTAGGCCCAAGGTGTGTGAGGACCTGGCTGTTGAGATCATGGCCGTCCAGGAGGTGAGCATGTTACCGTGAAATGTGTCTGACTCCATTATTTCAATCTCTCTTCTATCTCTCCTTATTCTCTATGACTTTATTATAATCTCTCTCTATATATATTTTAACCGTATAATTGCGCCTATCGAACCAGTGATTAGTTGTGGGGGGCTGGCTGGCCTTTCCCCCATACTCAAGTAGGATGAAAATCTTTTGAAAAGGATGATGACAACATATGCACAAATGTGCTTGACACAATGGATGTATGGATTGTTATAAGAGCTGTAAGAGACCCCAATAAAATGATTAATGCATATATATAGGCAAAATGCAGATATGGCAGAAATCATGAAGGTGGTAACTGAATGATATTTAGCAAGTATTTCTTTTTCATTTATGGGGAGGCTGAAGGAGTTTTATGCGAGCAGATAACACAGATGCAGGCTCTGGAAAGCTCTCTTTGGTATAAAAGATGAGTTCAAAGGTAAGGAGAAATGGCAGGAAAACCAGGTAAAAAGACTGGCAAAGGTTCAGGTAGCTATGTGTAGAACTTCTACTAGATCCAGAGGAAGAAAAGTGTTGATGAGAAATTTGGGATATTGGGATCAAGGGATGTGGGGAGTGACTGATTGTGGGGGAAGAGTCTTAGATAATTCCAGAGTTGTGGCTATGAAAATTGGGAGTGGACAGAAGAAAACGAGGAGGTATGTGTGTTCGTTTTAGTCTGCGGCATATGCTTGAGACCCCAAAATGGACACTATGATGCTGTGGGAAATAAAAATAATGGAAAGGCAAGAAATACTTAAAGCCCATTTTAAAGGCACCTATAAATTCAAAGCACAGACTGTTCACATGAGAGAAGTTAGGAAATAATTACCTTTTGTTGCTCTGAGTAGAAGAAAGGCCTTAGAAGGGATCTTTACAGATACATTTATAAAGTAGGATTTGTTAAGCAATGTTTTTTTTTTAATATGTTTCCTTTTAAGATTAAGTTGCCAAAAGAAAGAAGCATGACTTGTAAAGCCCATAAATACTAATACTTAAATATCCTCAGCACAGATTAAAGGGCACCAGCATATAATTAATCTAATTCATCGTAGTCGTGGTAGGATTGGCATAGCACGTTTTCTTTATCAATGTGCAGAATGGTATAGAATTCCTGACCACACCTCACTCATTCTTTAAAAGAAAGCTACAATGGCTTAATAGAGAAGTGCTCTTCCTCTAAATTACTCAAGTCCTCTTTTGGCTCTTGTTTCAACACAGATGTTCCTTCCTCTATGTGTCCTTTGTCCATTATAACACAGTGCATACATACTTTAATTTTTCAATTTCCCTCCTTTCCCCCCCTAAATTAGATGGTGAGGTCTTTGAAAACCATTGTTTATTACACAACTTTAAATGATGCCTTCCTATTGGTGGGACCTACTCAGTTGAAATGGGCTATAATCCACTCCAATGAAAACGCTTTGCTGCTGACGGTCTTATGAGAAGGTGCGGCAGGCTGCTTCTGCGAAGACTACAGACTTGGAAACCCTCTGGGCAGCAGTTCGACTCTTCCCTCCAGGGTCCCCAGGAGTCACCCACTCCTCAGCAGTGGGTCGGTCTGGTTCTTATCACAACGTTTAGTAGGTGAGGAACTGGTTTAGGTAGGGAATGGCTAACTGATAAGCGGTCTGCTTAACCTTCAGCGATGGTTGTCATTTTCAGAAATAAGATGAGGTGGAGACAATCAGGATTAAGCCTTTGGAAGAAGAGGTCCCCCTCAAGATATAATAGTTGCGAGCCTGGACTCGAGACTGCTTACGTTCGGATCCGGCTCTGACACATAATTTCTGTGCCCGCTGCCATCAAGTGGACCCTATAAAGTTTCGGAGGCTGTAGCTGTTTACGGCCGCGGATGGCCTCATCTCCCTCCCCGAGCTGCAGCCAGTGGGTTTGAACTGCCGATCTTAAAGTTAGCAGTCCAACGCATACCCACCAGCGCCACCAGGGCTCCTTAATTTCTGTGTAATCTTCCTTGAGTCGCTTAACCGTATACATTCCTATCCGTTCTGGTAGGTTAGAGGCCGTGTAAGAAGCCTGATGCCGCAGCGGGTTCAGCGCTGGACGACTAACCGGACCCCTTCGGATGAAGAAACTCCGTTAGGACTGATGCCTTGGCGAGTAAGTGCAAGCTTCTGTTGTGGGACCAGTTCGTAAGGGCCGGTTGAATGAATTAGTGGACTGCGGTCCGTGACCTTGCCACCGGAGGTTGTTCCTGACTGGGTAAGGCCGGCTCCTCTCGCTAACCGACGCCTCCGCCCCGCCCGCCCGCGCGTCTCCGGTCACTCGCAGAGGGCACCCTGGTCGCAGGCACCCGGCTCGCGGTCACTCACCGGCAGGAGCGCGCCTCCCGGCGGGCCGCA